TCTGCTTCTTGACAGGGGGCTCAACCCCCTTGCCACCCTTCTTCTTCGTGCCCCCCCCGGCCACATCAGCGGCGGCAGCAACAGCAGAGGGCTTCGTCATCTCCTTATGGAAGAAGGCATCAACAGGCTGCTGGTCCGAAGGGTCCTTCGTCTTAGCTTGGGCCTTGCCCTTCTTCTTCTTCATGGCAAAGAGGGCGTTTGCATCCATACCAACACCTGCAGAGCAACAATAAAGAATTAGCCCGAAGGGTAGAAAGCATGGACAAATACCAAAAGTACTAAAAATTTCCTAAGTACGAAACTCAAGGCCCTCGATAATCACCTCTGGCGCTCTTGAAGGCTCGATCAAGGAGGGGGAACTTTTCGTCTCTCTCCCCCAAGTAACGATATCGCCGGAAGGCGAGGGCATACATATCCTCCTCGAGGGTGCACTCCTTGATCGTCACGTTCTTGTTGCGCCCCTCCGGGATCTTAGCAAGCTTAAGGCCATCTTTCTCGAGGGCAGCACTTCTAATCTTCTCATGGCGCCTAAAACGGTCCCGCAACTCCCTCGGGAAGGGGCTCTCATCTAGCCTGACATAGGACCATCGCTCCTTCCAGCCTTTATTTGAGGAGGGCGCCTCGGTGAACAGCTTGCACTGGGCTATCTGCTGCAGATTTGCAAACCCCTCGGCGTTTGCATGGCCCCCTCGGCGTTTGCATGGCCCCTAACCCCTCGGGTTCGGCAGAGGTGAAGGAAACCAGTGATGTAAGAATGACTGTTGGGACTTGGGCGTGAGTTGGCAAGGAAGAAGACCCACGAACCGGAGGTACTCACAAAGAAATGGGTGCAAGGGGAACCGGAAGCCCATGGCGACCGAGAGGATATGCACCGCTATACACCCCTCGGGAGCCCGGAAGAGAAGGTCTTCTGGTCCCGGCTGTATTACTGTGCCCGAGGGCCCCACGTGCAGCTGTTTGACGTAGCACTCCGCCCTGTCAGCCTTCGACCTTATACCAAGGGCGTCGGTGTTAAGAAAGGAATAACCCTCAGACAGATCGATGGGTTTTCCCTGGTCAGCAACGCTACCCTTCTTCTTGGGAGCGGCAGCCTTCGTCTTCTTCTTCCTGGGGGCCACCCGGAGAGGCGTCGGGTTCAAGGGCCGGTAGGTGCTGGCTTCACCAGCGTTGCGTGCAGGAAGGACGGCGACGGTAACCTTCTGCCTCTCCCTCTCCTCCTCTTCCTCGGCGGTTTGAACAGCGAGGGCCAGCTCCTCGTCTTCATTTACTTGTTCAAAGTCCTCGGCCTCGGCCGCAGCAACAAGCTCCTTCTGTATCTCCATGGCAACAGCAGAGTCACCACTCACCGAAGGCTGCACACTCGTGGACTCCACATCTGAGATGCTCTCCTCCTCTGCCGATGGCTCCCTCGATATGTTTTGGGAATCACTTTGCGAAGACATCCTCGAGAACTAGGGGATGAGGGGTTCTAGAAACTGAAGGCTCCCTAAAAAACTCTAGCACTTAGCCTAAGGGCGAAAATATAGTAAGGAACTCGAGAACAGGAGTGGCAACTCACCTTGGGAAGTGAGGATTTGATCGGAGGGTTGTTTCTCTCTCTAGAAAAAATCAGGCAGAGCTTCGCTAACAATGAATCGCATAAGGGGAAATGCTCGAGCCTTGGGGTATTTATAGGCACCCAAATCCGGGCTTGGGCCCAAAACCGGGCCTCCAGGTTACGAAAGTCATCATTACACGCCGCCCCCTTCCGCCAACCTGTGATACCGCCCGAAGCTAACCAACAACCACGCCAAACAGATGGATAGATACCCCCGGGTACACTTATCCATCAAAAAGATAAAACAAAATACTACATAAAAAAAGAAATTAAACCGACATCACCCCCAAATTATACCGTGGGATCGACCCACCTTCCGCATGGTGTGCCGATCCCACTTTAGGCAAGTGCCTTTCATTTTCTTTCTTCCGGGAGCAACGTTCATTCATTTTCTTTTGTGTTTCTTTCTTTATTTTTCTTTTGTTCTATTCTTTTCTTTTTGCATCAAATTAAAAATACTAAAAATTTAATGTCAATCCTACTTTTCTTTATCTTCATCTAAAATTATAATTTATAATTGAATCTATTTTTTATTCTTTATCAATACATAACAAAAAGTTTATTAATCTAAATAAAATAAGTATATTGCATTTCATATTCATACAATATTTTTGTTTCTGTAATATTTTTTATATTCATATACGTTTTTTTGTAATATACTTTTTATATGCATATACATTTTTGTAATATTTTTTATATGTATATACTTTTTCTATAATGAAATTGTTTTTTACTTTTTATATGTTTTTAGAGATTTTTAAGACATTGAGCTTGTTTATTTTGATTTTTGAAGTTATACTATCCTCCGTATCGCATTAATTGCAATATTGGAATATATACATTATTCATGTACTTTACTTTGACTACATTTATTTATTAATGTAATTGAATTATTTTTTTTGAAAAATATTGTTAAATTCGTCTCATTACTAAGTTTTATAATCTGATTTTTATTTTATTTTTACTAATACAGAATTAAATATAATGAAGGTCAAAGTTGTACGTTGGCAAATGTGAAATGTTGACTGTTGCAACTAAAAAGAGACGGAGGAAGTATTTGATAATATATCATGAAATTACATATTCTTCTGCGCGAGTTAGATCTTATTGTACGCGAGTTACATCTTAATATACGCGAGTTACATCTTAATGAATGCGAGTTACACCACAGAATAAACCCCTGCTATATCATTTTTATAACCCTAATATTAAAAATAAAACACGTTCACTATTTAAAAAAAAACTAATTAAGCTATTAGCATCAAATTTTCATTGTTTACATTGAAATCAATGTTTACAAAATATATAGTATTCGCAATCACAGACACAAAACAATTGTTCAATTTTCCAATAACTTACATTCTATATACACCTTAGTTATATTTGTCATCAACGCAAGCTACATTTGTAATAACATGAGTTACATTTATAATCAACCCCTGATATTGAAACAAAAAACGATCTTTTTTAAAAAATTATTTTTTTGGTCATGATATTAAAAACAAAACATATTCACGATTTACCCAAAGCAATTGTGCAATTAGAGTATTAGACTCTTTTTTTTTATTGTTTACATTGAAATCAATATTGTATTTCTAATACTCCCTCCGTTCCTAAATAAACTTCCAACTTTCCTTTTTCGTCTGTTCCAATTAAATTTCCACTTTCCCTTTTTGGTAAAGAATTTGTGGTTCACAACATTTCTTACACATTTCTCTCTCCTCTGCACAACTCTCCACCACACAATACCCACTTTTCTTAAATTGTGTGCCAAAGTGGGTTGGAAGATAAAATAGGAATGGAGGTAGTACTATATATTTGACAAGTGACATTTCGAATGAACTTGAGTTACATTAATCAATAACGTAAGTTACATATCTTTACACGCGAGTTACATCACTCATGTTAGTGGGACAAAAAGAAAGAATAAAACGTTACTGTTCACACATGTACTGTCCACACATGTACTGTTCACGTGTGTACCGTTCATGCGAAATTTTAAAAAAAATTGTGCAAAACTAAGTATACGAACTAAACATAATCACACCACCGATGTAAAATACTTCCTCCGTTCTTAAATAAATGCAACGGTCAACATTTCATACTTGCCAAGACACAACTTTGACCATTAATATAAATGATTTTGTATTAGTAAAAAAATTAAAAAAATTAGATTTTGAACCTCTACCATCTCAAAAAATTAAAAAAATTAAAAAAGTTAGATTAAAAATGATCAATTGATGGATTAATGTTACCCTCTCACCTAGAGTTGGATTCGGTTCGGGCCACCCGGCCCATGACCCGGCCCGGCCCGGTACTGTGCGGGCCCGGGACCGGCCCGGTCGGGCGGTCCGGGACCGGGTATGGGCCCGAACCGGGGGGAAGGGGCGGGGCGGGCTCGGTTCAGCATTTTTGTGACCCGGCCCGGTCCCGGGTCCGGGTCTATTTTAAAATTTTTTTGTTTTTGTTTTTTGGCTACTAGCCGTTGAGGCCTTGGGGGTGGGGGTGGGGACAACCCAAACGGCTATATAGCCGTTGGGTGGGGTAAAGGGGGGGGGGGGTCCGGGGGGGTTGGCTGGTAGGGGGGGGGGGTGGGGGTGGGGGTAAAAAAACCTATAAATACTCCTACTCTTTCTCCAATATATTATATATCTACTCTCTAATTCTCTTCTCCAAGAAGTTAAGATGGAAAATCAAAATGCCATTATACGGTATAATTTTGATAAGCAGAAGGACCCGAAGACCGGGATGTGGTACGCAATTTGCAAATGGTGCGGAAAAAATGTATCATGGGGGCTTCAGGCGGATTCGGGATGGCAATCAAGCATATGAAGTCATGTGACAAAGCCAAAGGATCGGGAGGTGCGGGAAGTTCCGATTGATTACAATTTTCAAAATGTTTCTCTCTTAAAGTTTGTTTTAATTTTCAAATGTAGTTCCTATTTCATTTCAAATAAATGCAATTGAAGTTTGTTTTTAATACTCGTATAAAACTATAAACTATAAAATATAAATTATAAAAAAAAGTAACCGGCCCGGCCCGAACCGGACCCGACCCGTGACCCGGGCGGGTGGCCCGGCCCGAACCGGACCCGTCCAACCCTCGGGCCGGTCCCGGGCCCACTTTTCTAGAACCGGCGGCCCGACCGGGCCGAGGCTCGGCCCGGGCCCGACCCGGCCCGGGCCCGACCCGGCCCGGGCCCGACCCGGCCCGAATCCATCCCTACTCTCACCCCTCCTACCCACAATGCCAAAACTATCAACCTCTACCATCTCAAGAAACTTTCCTCCCACCATATCTTGGGAGTAATTTTTTCCGAATATTCTTCGATATTCTGAAAAAAAAAACACCTAAACCTTTTGTTGACTAAAGAAATTGTCTCTGTAGGCGCTTGTGAATATAAAAGATAGGTAGGTACGCACTAAAGAAACCTTTTATTGAAGATAGGTACGTACGCACACCAACTGCCGTGTGAATTGTGACTGTTGAAATTTTGACATACGAATCCTCCTCCTCTGTAGCAGCGAGAAGAAGAAGAAGGCTGTTCTAAGTTGACTTTGTCTTCCTCAGAGTTCTGAGCAATAAAATCTCCGTTTTTAAGAAACAAATTCTAAGGCCCCTTCTAGCAATCAACGCTCTCCCGGTTTACCTCCCTAAACATTTCAACTCCACATTAGGTGAGTCAAGTTACGTTCCTGCGTACGCGGCATATATATGCGCGTTCATACCGAAGAAAATTCCCAATTTCCCACAGTATTTATTTGCAAATCGATCTTGATTCTTCGCATCCAAGTTTTAATTTTTTCTCAGGCGTTAAATTAATTTTTATATCTGAGCTCGTTTTAGCTAGCCTGGAAGCCATTAGAGGTAATATTTTAGGCTTTCTTGTTTTACGTTGTTCTGTTGTTCCTCTTATCTTTGATCTTGTTGGTTTGTCCTATAATTACTCCATAGTTTTACTGTCCTAGTGTAAAATCTGACATCTTTAGTGTTCTCTGATGTCTTTTGAGTGAGTATGTTTCGTATTTTACTACGCGCTTCTGTGTCTGCTTTGTTTGATCCAATGTTTATAGGGTTATTTTTCTCTCTGTGTTTTGGAGATTCCTCGTACTTGCTTAGATAAGACTTATTATGTCCAGGATCTTGTGATTTGGCTTTTTGATTTGTTTGGATCTGAAGTCCGCTCGTTTTAAATTGCTAATACCCCTTTCTGATCTGATTTTTTCCTTTTACAATGACAAACAGTCCTTTACTACAGCTTAGGCAACTTTAATCTTCATATAAAGCTTGATCTTTGCTGTGATAGAGCAGAGGAGCACTACCCACCTTCAGCCTCTCTGCTGGACCAAAACAATATTACTAATTTCCTTTTCTGAAAATATTATTTTCCATATTAATTTAGTAAAATCATTTTACGTTAAGGGGCCCATCTTGCTGAACATAGTAAAATTATTTGCTTAGTTGCTGAAGACAATAAGATCTAAAAGGTTTTCAAGCATAAATTAGAGTTAATAACCTATTTAGCCCCTCAACTATACACGTATTACTCAATCTGGTTTTCGGCTTTCATTTGGACTCAATTTAATCATCCACTAGGTGATTTAGACTCTACTTAATCCTCATTTATGTTTCACTCTAACGAATGAAGGTATTGTTGTACCACTTGAGCCAAATTTTCCTGACTACATTGTTATTACGAAATTGAGTCATAAGTTTTGCCAAAACTCGGTGAACTGACTAATGTGCATTTAGTGTTTAGATCCCTATATGCATTGAGGACTAAACTGGGTCCAATTTTTACAGTTGACACCCAAATCCTGTCTAAACATAATCTGAGAACCAAATTGAGTAATAACTCTTGAAGTTTTTTTCCTTATTAGTTTTTCTGGCAACCTTGGGCTTCTCAAAACAAATATGTGTGCTCCCAAATCACAGGTGAAAAAGCATGGCAGCGACCCCAACTCGAATTGGCCTTGCTGGCCTAGCTGTAATGGGACAAAACCTTGCACTCAACATAGCCGAGAAAGGGTTCCCGATATCCGTCTACAATAGATCAACCTCAAAAGTTGATGAAACTGTTGAACGAGCCAAAGCAGAAGGTGATCTCCCTCTCTACGGTTTTCACGACCCCAAATCCTTTGTTCTCTCCATCCAAAAGCCTCGTGTCATCATTATCCTCGTCAAAGCTGGCTCACCAGTTGACCAGACCATCAAAACCCTCTCAGCTTACCTGGAGAAAGGAGACTGTATCATCGATGGAGGCAATGAGTGGTATGAGAACACCGAGAGGAGAGAAAAAGAAGCAGCCGAATTGGGTTTGCTTTATCTTGGAATGGGAGTGTCTGGCGGTGAAGAAGGTGCTAGGCAAGGCCCATCACTAATGCCTGGAGGCTCTTTTGAGGCCTACAAGCACATCGAAGACATCCTACTCAAAGTAGCAGCCCAAGTCCCAGACAGCGGGCCATGTGTGACTTACATAGGCAAGGGCGGATCTGGAAACTTTGTTAAAATGGTTCACAATGGGATCGAGTATGGTGACATGCAATTGATTGCCGAAGCATATGATGTTCTGAAATCTGTGGGGAAGCTATCCAATGCCGAATTGCATGAGGTGTTCTCGGAGTGGAATAAAGGGGAGCTCTTGAGCTTCTTGATTGAGATCACTGCTGATATATTTGGAATCAAGGACGACAAGGCAGACGGGTATTTGGTGGATAAGGTTTTGGACAAAACTGGCATGAAGGGTACAGGAAAGTGGACGGTTCAGCAAGCTGCTGAACTGTCTGTTGCCACCCCGACAATAGCTTCATCACTGGACTCGAGATTCCTCAGTGGGTTGAAGGAAGAGAGGGTCAAAGCAGCCAAGATATTTAAATCCGGCGGGATAGGTGATGTCATTGCTGACCAGGTTGTTGTTGACAAGAAGCAGCTGATCGATGACGTCAGGATGGCACTTTATGCCTCCAAGATATGCAGTTATGCACAGGGGATGAACTTGATTCGTGCAAAGAGTGTCGAGAAAGGATGGGATTTGAAACTCGGTGAGCTGGCTCGGATTTGGAAGGGGGGCTGCATTATCCGTGCTATATTTTTGGACCGTATCAAGAAGGCCTATGACAGAAACCCAGACCTTGCCAACCTCCTAGTGGATGAAGAGTTTGCAAAGGAGATAATTGAAAGGCAGTCTGCTTGGCGAAGAGTTGTTTGCCTTGCTATCAGCTCTGGTATTAGTACCCCTGGCATGTCTTCGAGTTTGGCTTATTTTGACTCGTACAGGAGGGAAAGTCTGCCTGCCAATTTGGTCCAAGCTCAGCGGGATTACTTTGGGGCCCATACGTACGAGAGGACAGACATGTCGGGTTCCTTCCATACCGAGTGGTTCAAGATTGCCAAACAATCAAAGATTTGATTTTCTTAAGCTCTACACAGTTGTTGAGCTGGACTGATGCTGCTTATGTGCTTAATAAGGATTCTTTGTGACCGAAAATGTAAAATTCAGTCATGGAACCATTCAATCATGCTTAATATGTTTGGAATATTTGGAATTTATTGAAGTTTATTTAGTTTTGATAATTATTTGTAAACCAGACCATCTTTTAATAAAATCTTTAAGCTAATGTATCTTGTTTTTTGTTAACCATGCCATTGTAGCTCTAAGTCTCTAACACAGGCATGCCTCTAAGCGTTACTTACAACACGCTATACTTATCCATGGTTTCTGGTTTAACAAAAACCTCTTTTGCATGTTTGCGTCCATTCCTGTCTTCCTCAATCTCCTCCTCTCCGATCTTCTTTGATCTGCTAAAATAAGGTATTTTTTTCATATCTTTTCAATTACTCTTGATTATAACTGAAACTTATACTGAAATCTAGTATGTGTTCATTTTCTTGTTAAATTAAGAGTGTATTACTCCCGATTTGAAAAAGTATTGTTATTGATATATGTTGACTAATAATGCATTAACTATAACTATCTCCTTTTGCCTCATATTTAGGAGGTGTTTGGAACCAATTCTGATTCTGCTTCTTTTTTAAAGTAGAATTAGAATCAGTTTTCAGAAGCTGGTCCCCCCCAGCTTCTAAAAAAACTGATTCTATGAGTAAATTAAAACACTCCAGTTTTAAAAATCAGATCCAAACACCCCCTTAATCTGCGATTCTAGAAATTCATCTATTGTCAAATAACTTCTACTTCACATAAATACTCATTATAGGTGTTCATAAACTGTTCGATAAAATGCCTAACGAAGTGACTATTATACAGTTTCTTTTGGTTGCTATTGCCTAATTTGCCTATTCCCTTAAGTTTTGCTTGCCTACTTGTTCACAAGGAATGCTTATTTCATTTGGCAACAAAAAATATAGATGTCACATGAACTAACAATAACTATATAATGAATGAACTCAGGGACATCATACTTTGTCAGTTTTAGAAAATTCACTCTTTAATAATTTCTTCAAAAGAAGTGTGTTTTATAACTTAAAATATTATCCTCAATTTTTTTTAAATGAATCAGAATAGCTTTCTCCACTAAACTACAAAAAGAGAATTAAGGTCCTATTGATGATCACCAACTGTCTTGAAGAAGAGTAGGTGTTCAAAAGATTGCAATGTCTCCAATGAATCAAATTTCAAAGTGCAGATGGTTACAAGAGGTAAAAACACATTGAAGAGGAAAAAAAACATATACTACGTACTAAAAGAGTCACATTAAACTTTTTTATGCTGCAAACAAATGAATGGAAGCAGAACGGCCAAAAATATATCATAGTAAGTTTACTTAGTGCCAAAATCAAATGAATGGCAGTAACCTAAAATATATATCACACACCCTATTGCAATTTGCTCATCATTATATTACTTGTAATTGGTTATTAATAGCATTCTCTGTGTACTGACTGCTATATGGGTTATATACTTTACTTGTCACCGTTCAATACAAATAACGTGATCTGAGGTGAGCTTTATGAATACAATAAAGTTAAAAAACGTGTTTTGCAGCATGGTGAGTTTGATCAAACTCTAGACACACAAAGTGGAAACATAAAATTAACATCTCTAATGTAGGAAAAATAATTAATAGTAAACATATCTAGGAATTATACTTTTTATTTACTTCTCAATTTAGGTACCTTTGCATCGGGGGCGGACCGCAGTACAGACCCAGGGGGCTACCGCCCCCCAACAAGAATTTTTTTAGTGTATATATATGAAAAATAATTATCTCCCTCCCAAAAAATATTTTGAACCCTCCAAAAAATATTTTCGCCCCCCAAGATGACTTTCCTGGGTCCGCCCCTGCTTTGCATTCTTATTTAATTTTCTCGGTTTATTCAAATATACTCTCATGTGGCCGGGCCTTAAACTGGAACTCTGGAAGAAGTTGGTTAGTCTGATTTCTGAACTCACACAAAACAAAGACACTTCCTGGTTTTAATCTATGTTTAGTGATCAATGTCTTTAAAACTTTCTTTAGAGAACTCTAAAACTAATTGTATTCGATCAGTACAAACAAAGCCCAGGGATAAAGCCACTTAATCACATTCACATAGCCAATGCTCTTGGCTTCTAAATGAAATAAGGAGTAAAATTTTCAGCCCTCCAAATCACATTCTCATAGCCAATGCTCTTGGCTTCTAAATGAAATAAAGAGTAAAATTTTCAGCCCTCCAAAGTCCAAATTCCAGGTACATAATTTTTAGGCTTTTATTTTGTACTTATATGTGTTGTGATATACGAAGTATATTGTATACAAATTAAAATAGAAATTCGTACATTTTTTGTACTCCGTATTTGTTATTTATAAAAACAAAATATGTACGGATGTTACAACTAAATACACACCCAAGAGTCTAATGGTATGTATTTCAACATTGGGAGGTGGTTCTTAGTTGAGAAAATGTTAATAAGTCGTTTCTTTGTTTAGGCTTTCTTGCTTATTTTTTAACATTTATTGCATCCTTGTGCCCTATTCACAAAATTGTTTGTAAAAACTAAAAAGGGATGAAAATAATATTTTTACAATCTATTGAAAAAATTAAAAGGAGGAAAATTGAAAATTTAATGCATTTTCCTAAATGCATTTATAAGTGTTGCTAATTTTAAATAGACCAAACCACACAATTTTGGCTCTTTTTGGGTAGAAGGGAGACTATAATCAAGTTTGATTTAATATGATATGTTTCTTTTTTATTTAATCTATGGTATGAAACACATTTGTTTCATTAAGTGACTGATTTGATCATTAAGTGACTGATTTGATGATTGTACAAAGTAGTGTATGTTCTAACTCAGTCGGGATAGTTAAAATATACCTTCATGATGCTTGCTTTGACTTTATTTGTGTAGGAAATTTTGAGATTTGGTTATTCCTTCGCTTTGTGTGCATCATATCACAACTTTGGGTCTATCCTAATTTGTGTAAGGACATTTGGGTGTGACATAAAGGTGACATTTCTATAAGTGTGACATAAATAGTAAGGACATTTGGGTCTATCCTAATTTGTTCTTTAAAAACACCTTTTATCGGGTATCACTAGACTATCATAATAAAAAGGTATAATCGAGGTATGTCTCCCACTTGAAGTTGAGAAGAGACGTGTAAGTTCAAATATTCATAGAGTGACATGCTTGTTTTACATAGGTTTTTCTCTATTATCATAACTAAACATTAATATTAAAGTGCCCCCTCACACACCTTATTCTAAGAGTGTCTAGGATATTGAAAACAAAAGTGCCCCCTCATCACTAAGCAAACACGCTTTCAATTTTATTTTTCGTTTTTAGAAACTAGTAGTGCTTGTTCAGAGCTGACATTTGAAAGCTCAAAGGTAAATTTCAAATACCAAATCATCTTTTCATTTTAAAAATACGTTTGTATTATTTATTTTTCCAAACATATCATGCAAACAATTATTATAATATAACATTTTATCGAAAATGTAATTGCTTATTTCACAAGCATTGGGCATCACTCGCACGTAGTGCGTACTCTGCTAGTGGAGTCATATAAAACTCACTAGTTTTTTACCGTCCAACATGGAATCAGAATCGGTCAGATTCCAGACCTCACTGTGTCCATGCTTAGATGTCACTATAACTAGTTATTCCTTTCGGTCCTAAATAAACTTCATAATTTGACTTTACGGTTTTTAAGAAAGTGGAATTCTTACTTTTGACTTTCCCATCATGCCCCTATAAAAATGTGATAAAGTGTAGTGAGAGAGAGAGTGAATGTAAAGTAGATAATAAAGTAAATGTATAGGGGTAACTTTATGTTAAAAACTTGTCAAAAATAGAAATGTGATGTTTATATTGGACCTACTCAAAAAGGAAAGTGTGAAGCTCATTTAGGATCGGAGGAAATATATTATACTAATGAGGTATCCCTGTTATGAAAGTGGATGTTGATGATAGGCTTATCTGTTTAATTAAACTCAATAAGCAATTCTCGATTGCAAAGATCTAGATGGAAATTGAACCGAGGCCACATAATACATGTTTGCATCCAATTGAAGTCTGCAATTTTGGTTGGACCTTCCATTTCCATTTTTATAAAGGAGGTAATTCTATTTGAAGTCATTAAATTACTATTTACAACCACCGACTCAAATAATACAACTCATATCATTTAAAATACTCAATCTGCATATTTAGTGTGGAATACTACATAATAAAGTACTCAACAATCACCCTATATTTAATACAGAGTATACCTGATGAGTGATTATTTAATAGCAATAGCTTTCATACACTTTTCAATATTATATTCGTTGATTGGATGGATAATTAATAGGTGAATTAATAAAAGTTTTACTCCAATTGGTTAGGATCAGTAAAAAAACAGGTGTACATATTTTATACACCATTTTTTAATATAAAGGATCGGCTTTTATATTAAATCGAGAAAAGATATAAGATAACATCTAGATAGTTTTGACAGATCCGATTGTGAGCCCTGGGTATAGACATAGAATCAACCACCTCATACAAAACAACCTCATGTTGGGTGTGTTTTGAAGAACAAAGAAATATAATTAATAAAATTAATTAATTAATTATAATGACTAAAGAAAAAACAGAACGTAGATGGAGCAGAATTAGCCAAAGCTCGTGCAACGCACGATGTCCTTAAAACGTATTTGTTGCCTCCCGGGGTGCTAGGAGCGTTGCAACAATCGTTTCCCAGGATACGATGACTACGAACAATAGTTTGAGCACTCAAACAAATTGTTCCGGCGAACGAGAACAAGTATGAACACCAAGGAATTTTTCAAGAAAGCTAGAGGTGTTTTTGAGAGCTAAAGAGTGCGACGTGATCGTTTGTGTGTGTTGTTGCAAACCACATGCTAGCCAATTTATAGAGGAAGATTTGTTGTGTGTTAATGACGTTTTAATGGACATTACCATTGGACATCAATGTCCAAAACGTTGGCATTGAATCGTCCGTAACTGTCCATTTAATCGCAAGAGACGTTGGGCATTAATCTCCGTAACGGAAGCAACAGGCTGCTAGCGAGCAGGCGGCTCAGCAGGTGGCTGAGGCAGCAGGCGAGCAGGTGGCTGCCTTGCAGCAGGCGCCTCAGCAGGTGGCTGCCTTGCAGCAGGTGCCTCAGCAGGTGGCTGCCTTGCAGCAGGCGGCTCCAACGGGCAGAACATTGAGAATCAATTTCTCATTCACCCGTTATCCATTTTGAGTGTACCACATATCGA